AAGGTACACTCAGTAAAAGTCAACTTTATTGTCAATCTTTCAGTTTGTGTGTACAGACAGAGAGATCGAAATACCCACAATTTCCCACAATCCCGAATAAAAAAATACAAATATATATAAAATATATATATCTTATATATACACAATCAACAGACACATTTATACATATGCACACATTAAGACATAAATAAAAGCACAACAATCAATATATACAAAATAACAGTCACTTCAATATCTTTGGGAAATGTACATTAGTGCAAGATTGTCCATAGCAGCGTAAAAAGACTCCTGGAAATGACCACTTTTTATGCAAAAGTAGGGATATTGATATTCTAAACCAATTATTAGTATACTGCTTATAAGTGCAAAATAGTAGAGCTACAACGATAAGACGACAAATTGTTTTTATTATATTATTATTATTATTATTATAGTCTTTTTTAATTTGAACTGATTGATTAGTACGTATCCAGAAAAATAATCCAGTGAATAGACATTGTAAAAGAACCAAAAACAACAAACACATGTTAGCAATACAATTGTATTCTGTATGATCAACTGGTTTTATTGATTATGTCAACAATGCAAAAAAGGAAAAGTATTTTTTTTTTTTAAAACAGATAAATCTCATAACAATCCGAGGGTCACTAGTGATGGTGTGGAATGATAATGCAGCCTTTAGTCATTTTGGTGCTGTGTGTCTGGCAGGTATTGGTTACAGCGTGGTGCGTGTCCCCATGGCCAGCTGTGACTTCTCCACCCGTCTGTACACGTATGCCGACACACCTGGAGACTACAACCTAGACAACTTCACGCTGGCCCCCGAGGACATCAAAATGAAGGTCAATATAATCTCCTACTCTCACATATAACCTTCAATCCATAACTCTATGCTGCCTACACAGTGTGAGAAATTAGGGATTTCCAGCTCTTGATAAGTATAGGAAAACATTTAGAAAAAATACATTGTTGTGTTTTATTCAGACTATTATTATTATTATAAATTATTTATGTTTTCTAAAAAATAAATTCAAATGTACATTAGTAAATTGATTATACAAGCAGTGTTTTTCATGGCTATTGGATCTGCTTTCTACATTTTGTGTGAAAGGCACTCTTTTAAAATATAATTTCTAATTTATATTGAAACTTTCTCCAATGTATTTGTTTAACAGTGTTTATAAGTCTGTTTTACTCCATCGCCAAAAACCAATAAAGCAAAAATCAATTGATGCCATGCTTTAAACATTTCTGGGTTTGTTGTTAATAGATTTGTATGAGCTACAGTACCTAACTACCTTCTCCTGGAAATAGCATACATAGTCATAATGTAATGTACATATAGACAATTGGATTGATATTAACATGCTAAACATCTGGCGAGTTTTTTCTCATGTGTGAAATATGTTCTGTCAGGAATTCATGAAATGTGAGTCAGGAAAAGTTTGGAATTTAGAATTTGAAAATGAGTAGGAATCCCTCCTCTCAGATCCCTCTCCTGCAGCGCGCTCAGGCCTTGTCTCCTGTCCCTCTGTCTCTGCTGGCCAGTGCCTGGAGCGCCCCCGCCTGGATGAAAACTAACGGGGCCCTCATAGGAAAAGGCTCTCTGAAGGGCCAGCCTGGGGGCAAGGAGCACAAATCCTGGGCCCAGTACTATATCAGGTGACATGTTGGGCTTTACCTTAATGCAACATCACATGTTTGTAATGCTTCATCCAAGGGGAACTTATTCTGATGGTCACTTTTTTCTTTCCTCTCAGGTTCTTGGAGGAATATGCTAAATATAACTTGACCTTCTGGGCTTTGACCACAGGGAATGAGCCCTCTGCAGGACACATAACAAACTACAGGTCTCTCCTCACATAATATTACACAGAATTATCATCACTCCTAGATTTCACAACGGACTAAGAAGTATCTTATCTTGCAGTTTCCAGGCTCTTGGCTTCACTCCTGAGGAGCAGAGGGACTGGGTGGCTCTGGACCTGGGCCCTGCCCTGCACGCCTCCTCACACCCACACACACACGTCCTCATCCTGGATGACAACCGCCTGCTGCTGCCTCACTGGGCTAAAGTGGTGAGTCCAAGGACGAAGAGAAAGTTGGCAAAGTTATAATAAACTTTGTTATACCTGAGGCTACTCTGGCGCTGCAGGAAGGAAATTAGGAATTGTATCATAAATCAGTATAAGACAAGAAAATGGCTTAATCATTACGACTGGATAACTTAAGATATGATGCAATATAAAGTTAACCCAATTTAAAACGATTTGAAGATCATCGATTTTAATATAAAAAAATCTAACACATAATTGAAGTTCATTTAAGTTTCTGGTAAAATGAACTCTTGCCTATTGCGAGACCATGAGCTTCTTAGCTACTGTAGCACTCAGAATAAAAAAAGTGTTTGCTAAGGTCAGATGGTGATGACTAACGGCCCGTCCACACAGCGGCGTGCGTTGAAGCTTCCAACGCTTCTGCCCATTCACTTTGAATGGGGTGACGTCACTTTTAGCCGAACTGCATTGTGGGAAGCGACGTGGAGCGTTGCTGGCGTTGCTCGCTTCAAAAGTTGAGCAATGTTCAACTTTTGACGCCTCGGCAGAAGCGTCAGCCAATCGAATCATATGCCAGTACAAGCTCTAGCCAATCAAACCGCTGCTTGTGTGTCAGGGGCGGGAGATTCATGTGATTGGTTGTTGGTCGAGTGTCAGACACGCCCGCCGGCAAGCGTCAACGCACGCCGCTGTGTGGACGGGCTGTAACGGCCCGTGCGTTGAAGCTTGCCGGCGGGCGTGTCTGAAACTCGACCAACAACCAATCACATGAATCTCCCGCCCCTGACACACAAGCAGCGGTTTGATTGGCTAGAGCTTGTACTGGCATATGATTCGATTGGCTGACGCTTCTGCCGAGGCTTCAAAAGTTGAACATTGCTCAACTTTTGCAGCGAGCCACGCCAGCAAAGCTCCGCGTCGCTTCCCACAATGCAGTTCGGCGAAAAGTGACGTCACCCCATTCAAAGTGAATGGTGAAGCTTTCAACGCACGCCGCTGTGTGGACGGGCCGTAAAAGTCCATAAATAAGGGCCTTTTGTCCATCATTTTGCACCAGACTTACTTTTCGTTCGTAGATGTGCAGGCAAGAGAAAATATCACTATCGTAAGTGAATACCATAGAACCTCCCTTCCCCTTTTGAACACGCTTTGTAATGCTTCATGACTACCTCAGCATTTGATGTGGAAACTCACTTATTTTTCTCCCCTCGTCCCTCCAGGTCCTAAGTGACATTCACGCAGGAAAGTACATTCACGGCGTTGCGGTCCACTGGTACCTGGACAGCCTGGTCCCAGCAGAGATCAGCCTGGGAGTCACACACCATCTCTTCCCAGAGTATTACCTGTTTGGCACCGAGGCCTGCTCTGGTTTCAGCCCACTAGACAGAGGGGTGAAGCTGGGTGGCTGGGACAGGGCTGAACACTACGCACGGGACATTATAGAGGTGAGGTCTGCTTATATCTTTGCATGAGACAGTGTGATGGATTTTTTAAAAAAGATGTGAGGTGATCCTGAAAGGTGAATCCCCTCCCTGGATGCTGCAGTGCAGGTTTACACTTTTCAGAAATCGCCTGTGAGCTGGGACTGGTGTTTTGTTTCTCCTTTTGTCACTCTCCCTCTAATGAAATAGGACTCCCTCCATTCTATCTATTTTGCATGAGTGCTTTCAGATCTAGACATCTTGAGAATCAGGAGGGAGTTGTTTATGTAGATGTGCTGTCTTTGTGACATTCAAACAAAACACCAGGCACCAGTCCAGGTGATTCATTAAAACAAAACACCGCCTCTTAATACAAAGTTAAATCCCAGACTAGATGCTAAACTGTGGGTGTTTTCTCTGCGGCAGGACTTAAATCATTATGTGGTGGGTTGGACTGACTGGAACCTGGCGTTGGATCAGACTGGTGGGCCAAACTGGGTTAAAAACTTTGTGGACAGCCCTATTATAGTGGACGCAAAGCGGGATGTGTTCTACAAGCAGCCACACTTCTACAGCATCGCCCACTTCAGGTTAACAACGTCATCTTTGTTCATATTACAGGAACAGCATTTTCATGTCTTCCAATATTTCAAGGAGACGGTCAAATGAAATCTAACCCGATCACATTATTACACAGTAAGTTCCTGTTGGAGGGGTCTCAGAGAGTGGGTGTGTTGGCCAATCAGCACACAGATCTGGAATACACTGCCTTCATCAGACCAGACGGCTCAGTGGTGCTCGTCGTTCTCAACAGGTAAGTCAAATGTGTGTTAGTGTAAAATATGGAAGAAAGGAAATTGAATGAAAAAGGAAATTGTGTGTTTGGGTTTTGTAGGTCATCGACCGTGATCCAGTTTGAAGTCTGGGATCCCGCTGTGGGTTACATCTCCTCCACAGTACCGGACCATTCATTGCTCACTCTTGCCTGGAATACACAATAATCCTTAATACAAGTTCACATACATTTGTTCCTACTCAATCACAAATATCTCTATTCATGTGAAAATGCCGCAACGTTGGATTCTCTCACACACCTTTTCTAATTAATTGGTTGCAAGATTGATTTATTATCTGCTGTACTTCAGTGCACAGTTTTGGCGATTTCTCTTAAATTAACGTCAGCAAACAAGAGTATTTTTCAACTAATTCAACTTTTATTCCAAAGCCAAAAATGCTTTTTTTCTGCACTGACTCCTATCAGGAATGATCTTAGAAAGTACTGAATGTATGTATTGGTTCTCCAGGATGACCTGTGTTGAAGCTGGTGCCTTGATCGGCAGCTTTAAAATGGTTTAAGTGTCCTTACAATATCTAAAGAAAGAATATAAATGATGTACAGAAATTGTAAATGCTGATTGTAAATGCTTCATGCTTTTGCTATTTAATTTTTAAATAAAGTGCATTTGTCTTAAAATATAAGTTTTAAGTATCTTTGGGCACGGAGGAAAAATTGAACCAGGAATCTTTTTGGTCAATTTATTAATACATCATAGACATTTTTCATATATATAATATACAGTTCGATAACCAGGTATTTCACATTTGTGTCTCCATTCTCATTTTTTTTTCCTTTTGCAAACCATAACTTGGACTAAAATTATTTACATCAAAAAAGTGATAAAAAAATTGAAACAAAAGACAGAGGAATAAAACAACAGAGGGATGCCATTTGTTTATAATATATACACTCGGAGGAGAATGTTTCAATCTTAATCATTCAATAAAGGGCGATTTTCATTCCCTTACAGGTATGGTGTTGGATGTGTTCCCAGAAAGCTGTGACTTTCATTTGAAGTCACAACTTTATTTGAGGCCATTTTACAGCGGCGACTCAAACTGATGTCTATAAAATACTTTGTCCTGTTCTTAAAGTACGTTACAGAGGATGGACGCAATAACATGAACCTCTTTAGAATAAACAATAGAACAAATAACCAAGAGTTAATCAAGTTCTTCCTGAGAAAACCTCAACAGGAATGCATCATTGATCTTAAACATAGGGTTTATTGCAGGGCTGCAGGTGTTATTAGGTCCAGACTCTGTAAATACAAAGAGTGAAGGTAAACCCTCCAGTAATCCCGTATGCCGTCCAGGGCTCAGTTGCAGGACTTAGCTCATTTTCTGTAAAGAGGGCGTGGTATATGATATAAAGTATGGCATTTCCCCACAATAGTATAACGCAGCAGTGCATTTTAAGAAAGATGGAAAAGGAGGTTGCTTGAGGGATGGAAGTAGAGAAGACATGGGCTTGATCATCACCATCAATCTAGGCTGGTTCCTTATGCAGCAAAAAAAAGAGTCTCCTTGACCTCGACCGACCGTTAACACATCTGTATACATGGTTGAGGAGAAAGGCATTCAAATAGAAAATAAAAGTACAAAAATCCGACTGAGATGATTATAACTGCAACGGAGATGAAAGGAGGCGAGTGAGAAGCGCTGTGTCTTCTCGTGTGGTGGATGTGGGCGAGGTGAACCAAGGGCTCAGACGGGTGGGGGGTATCAGAAGGACCATCTCTCCTGTGTGCGGGGGTCCATGGACAGGGTGGGGGACTCTGATGGGGGCTGGCTGCTGCTGTCTTCTCCGTTTAAACTCTTCCTACACACTGGACATGTGTCATGCTGTGTGGCCACCGAACAGAAAGTACATGGCATTAGTTTTTGGCAGTTTATCAAGTGGACTCTTTATTTTAACAGATGCTCAGGCTGTTCTTTGACTAAATGGCAGGATTTTTCAGTCTAGTTTTGCCGGCACAAAACCCAAGATTGGTTTAGTTTCATATAAAGAGAAAAGCAGGAAATCTTTTGTATGAACAATTACTTGAATGGCGATGTTTTTCAGACTGTTGACTAATAACCTTTTTTGTTGTGGCTCTGCCCACTCATAAAAACCCCTTGGCAAAATTCCCCACAGCTAATATTAGCAATGTCAGCTTGGGAAAAGAAATCCTGCATTTAGCGTTGTTTTTTATTGTACTGCATACTTTACTTTGATATTAGTTAGTACAAGTAAAAAGGATGGCAATATTCTACATTTTCCTTTTCCACAAAGCTCATGAAAAGACAAAAAACTAACAATGGATTGATCTGAATAACTATCGTAATACTTTTTCCTACAACTACTACTCCTATTTAGCCAGGGTCAGATACAGCTTATTCCAACTTCCACTGTGTTTGAAAAACGATTAAGAACAATCAATGAGATCATTACAGAACGAGCGCCGTTATTATCTTGTATATTATATCCTTGTAAGTACCTATTGTATCAGTTTATAATACAAAGTTCCACCCTCTTTGTCATGACTCACCATTTCCAGCCATGGTACTATACAGTCTGAATGAAAGAAGTGGTTACAGGGTAGCTGTCTGACTGGCTCTCCCACTGCGAAGTCCTCTTTGCACACCGGACATTCCATACAGCAGTCTGCAGCAGAGGAGAGAGAAAGCATTTATAAATACCCCTGTGATTCCTAATAATAATAATAATAATAATAGATGTTATTTATATAGTGCTTTTCCTGGTGCTCAAAGCGCTTTGCAAGCCAGTAAAGAAAAATAACAACAAAAGGGAAATAGGGGCGAGGGGTTGTAGGGTTAGGAGTTGAAGGCAAGAGTGAAATAAACATTAATTATCACTTGATGATACATCTGTTTAGGGGACAAATAACAGATCATTAGTTCTGCATCAAAAAGTGTATTAGCACTAAAACGTTTAAACTACGAAGCACGGTCTATCCTAATTACAGAAAAAATGTAAACACAAAGATTTAAAAAGCCTAGCAGATAAATACAAAAAAAGAAGGATATGTCGTGGTTTCTCAAGACAGCCATCAACAGACTTGAAGCATGGCTGCATAAATAAACCGTACAGGTGAGTGGTAAAATAGGACAGCACATATAAGAAGAAGTCAAATAGCTCAAATGGAGAGAATAACATTTGATGTGAAAGGCCAGCAAGCAAAAATAGTAAATATGGAACACATTGTTGATACTCTCAAGGTTAATGGGCATTTCGTCCCAAACAGACACAGTTTCTGTGTCTTCTTTTGGCAGGCGGCTACAGCGAATACACACAAGTGCCTTCTCAAGCTGTATCCAAGTGTTAGCACAGATTCTAAGCGACTAAAAACATGACAGATGTGTTCTTAGCCTTTCTCTTTTTTTAATTTACTCAGGACTATTAAGGACCAGATGCCATTAAATCAATACTTAATAATATGTGTGCATTTAGATAATTGTCTGAATACATTGCATACAAAGCATTCAGGGACTCGGAGAGAGAAACAGAGTGAGCTCAAGTTAGAAAAGTGGAAAACAACTGACCTGCTTGTTCCTGAGAGATATTGACTGTTGGGAGAGAAGAGATCTTCTCTTTCTCTGCTGGAGGAGGTCCCGTGTTCTCCAACTGACCGAGTAACTATGCACACAACACACATGTATAAACATCAGAGAAATCCACAAGGTGGCCAGGACATAAAGCTGGAGTTCATTTTGGTTTACCTGTGTTATCACAGCGTCTAACCCTCCCTGTCCCCAGGCGTAATCCCCTGGGTTAGAGTGCAGCATCCCCGTCCTGAGAGAGACAGACAAGTATATGAGAAATAGTGCCAATACTGTGATGCTAACACTGTGATGCTAACACTGTGATGCTAGCACTGTGATGCTAGCACTGTGATGCTAACACTGTGCTGCTAACACTGTGATGCTAACACTGTGCTGCTAACACTGTGATGCTAACACTGTGATGCTAACACTGTGCTGCTAACACTGTGCTGCTAACACTGTGATGCTAACACTGTGATGCTAGCACTGTGATGCTAGCACTGTGATGCTAGCACTGTGATGCTAGCACTGTGATGCTAGCACTGTGATGCTAACACTGTGATGCTAACACTGTGATGCTAGCACTGTGATGCTAGCACTGTGATGCTAGCACTGTGATGCTAGCACTGTGATGCTAGCACTGTGATGCTAGCACTGTGACGCTGCTGTAATGTCACCTTACCAAGAGAGGGGAGGTGAGCCGGGGACTCCAGAGTTGGCAAAGAGACCGGCGAGAAACTGTTGTACAATCCTAATGAACAGACAGAAAATATAAAAATGACATCACCAAAAATCTGAGGAGAAAAGTTTGTAATAGCATAGTTATTATTTAATGATTCTAAGTGGGAGTATGCGTGGTGGGGTGTGGGTTACTCACCCCTCCACAGCAGGAGAGCGGTCTGGTCTGCTGCTGCCTCTGGAGCGGTATCTCCTCTGGCTGTGTAGGCGAGGCGGGCGTCCCGGTCCCCAGTTATCCCCGGCCCCTAGTAGACTCCCCATAGGTCCCCCAAGGCCTGCTGGGACTGACCCCCCGATTGGTCCCCCTCCCAACCCCCCCAGGTCACTCAGACCCCCCAAACGCCCTCCAGGGAGCCGGGGTTCTGAGTCCGGTGTGTCAGCGTCTATTGTAAATGGCCGCTCCAGTAACAACAGGTGCCATAGCTACAGGGAGGGGGGGATTGGACAGGGAAGGGTCCGGAGAAGGACAGAAAGGGGGTTAGGGATAGGAAAGCAGGCAGCACAATAGGAAAAGAGAGGACATAAACATGCAGTAGCAAAAAGAACGACAGGAAGGGGAGGAGAGGGTAGGGAAAGACAAAGTTAATTAAAAAGTAAACAATTATTGCAATCAATCTTCTCCCACCCTATTCCCCCCCAAAATCCCTCAGGTCAGCTTGTACCTCTGCAAATTGTGTGGCTGCGTCATCTATCCCGTTAGCGCCACCCTCTAGGAGACTGAGGGGAAATGCGCAAAAGAAACACATTATTAGAAACGTCCACTGAACCCAAACACATGTTCACATGTATGGCTAGCTTACAAGCTTCTACAGAAAATATGTTGGTTCATGTGAATAAGAAGAGAACACCAAGTGTTGTCTGGAGAAGTGAGGTAGATACGCAGAATAATAAATGTCTCACCTTGAGTCTTCTGTTACTTCCTCTATGAACCCTGAGTCACATCTCGGACAGATATACTCCTGGAGAGAATCACGACAGAACTGGGTCACACGGAAGTCATACCCGCAATAAAACAATTCAGCATTTAATTCACTGGAAATCTAAGAGTCATATTTGGCTCTCTTTCATTTCCTGTTTTTTATTTTAATAAGCTTTAATTAATTATTTCTGGTGTGTGTTTAATAGTAAATGTTATTGTTTTATTATCTTACTATCTTATTGTATAGTCTCTTAGTTTATTCCTACTTTTCTGTTTTTATTTAACTGTAATTGTATTGGATTCAGTTTTTTTGTTTCTGCAGTGAAGCTAAAAGTCTAATATTACTACTATAACTATTAAAATGTTGGTTTTGTTGTTTTGTTTGACCAAAAGCGCACAACAGCCTAAAAGATATTCAGTCTGCAACAATATAATACCAATAAAAGCTTTACATTCTCACATTGGGGAAGCAAGAACCAAAAAAGGTTTATCATTTTTTAGCTCTACTTTAGCTAAATGACTGACATAATCTAATCATATTGGATATTGTTATCTGAAATAATACTAAAATACAATATAAATTGAATAGACAACACAACTCATAATTGTGTTTTTTGTTCAGCACGTGTTTTTTGTCTAACGTGATGCATCAAAAATAAACATAGTTGGATTTTTTTTAAAGAAATATCCATATACTGTATTTGCCCTATTGTCAAAGTATGTTAAAATATTCACTCAACCTTTGAAGTTCAACATAAACTAATTGAAAACAGACAATTTGCAGACTGGTTTGGTCAACAAAGCAAAACGGTGTTGCATTTGTCTTTGCAAGGACAATCTCAGTCAGTGAATGAATGTAGCCCAGGAGGTAGAGCTGGTATGCCAACCACACCTAACCGAGTGTGTGTTAAAGAAACCACTGCATTAGAATGAGGAAAACACCAGCCAGCGCGGATGATATTATCCCCTCAGTGTAAAACAGAATTACTCAACATGGGAAAAGAAGTGAAGGAATATATTGTTCATCCTTAAATACATTGTTGAAAAAGCTAGGTCTAAAAAACATTATATAATATATTTATACTCAATGGATTATTTTGTCACAGGACAATTAACACGCTCTATTATCTTGGTTAACACAACACATCTAGGGGTGTAAAACTATGGTAATAAGAAGTAAATAGATGATTTGAGTTGTGTGTCATCATGTGTTGCATAATTAGATATATGACTGAGAGACAGCCTTTGGTCTCTCTACACTGTAGTAGTGAGTAGGTGTCATTTGGCTCAGTGAAGACATGCCACAGGACTGAGTGTGTCTGAGGCAAGCAGGCCAGTTTAGAGTCAGTGACAGGCTGGAATTACTCTCAGCCATAACATAAAACGGAGGATGCAGCTGATCTGGTGGACTGATCTACTGACATAAACAATGCAATATACACTCAGTTGGCTACATGTTGTCCACCTCCTTTGAAACAATCAAGATGCACACCTTAGTGTTAGGGCAGGAACACACACTTCTTTTATCTTTTTTAATTGATAGATAGTTTGGTTAATCATCTTTTAACACATTATATGTCAACTACAGACCACAGCTTTGAAAATGATAAAATACATTTACAAATAACACCTATTCTAAAACACTAATTAAACCATTATAACCTTTTTGAACCTATGATTTCCTGATGGGTTGCTGTACTAGACTGGATTAGTTTGAGCTAGGTGAACCCAATACACTGGTGACTGAGTGTAAATAGTAGACCCTCACAATTATCTAGGATGTAGAAAATAAAAATTTTAATATATGCGAGTTAAGGTCTGGCAAACTGTTGGCCAAGTCAGCTTCTCAACATCCAATTACTCTTATGCTTATCTTTAAAACTGAAACTAAAACGAGATGTTTATGTTCCAGAAAAGTCCCCAACTCGCCCAGCCAAGAGTGTGTTTTAATGGAAACGAAAATTAAAATAGCCTTATATCAAACAATATACACGGTTTTTAACATTAAATAACAAGGTAATGGCACAGATCTTCCTCAGCTGTGTTGTGCAAAACACAACAACCCCCAAGCTGTCAAAGAAAGGCGTCAAGCACAGTACTTTGACAAAAGTGTCAAAAACATACATGCTTTAATAAACCTGTCGATTTTTTATTTAATACCCGATTTTTAGAATAAGACATTTGCGAGTGTCACGAGTTTATTTAGAGAGTTAACAACAACAAACGCCGCTAACTGCTAACATGCTAGCTAGTGTTTAGCTGTAGCTTGCAAGCGAAACAAACGGTATTTCGGAGAAAGCTTCACTTGTCAAGCGCACATTTTATACAGGAGATTATGAAAGATAAATAGAGGAAAACATCTGCCTTACCGGGAGTTTGGGGTTCACTTCTCCCTTACAACAGTGACAGAAAAACCGATGCGGTGGAACAGCCGCAGCCTCCGCCATCTTCCCCAGAGCCGCACAAACACTGACGTCGGTCCTCCAGCAGCCTGAAGACAGCTGTCCGCCTCCAGCCCGGCATGCACCGCGGCACCAGGGCACATCCGAGCACAGAAGAAGACCGGAAGAACAAGGCATTTAATCAGGAACATGTGAACCTCTTAAAATACATCCATTATATGAACGCTTCCTCAACATTTGTCATGGTTTTATAAGACATGGAACTATAGAAAACATCCATTCAAAGTTGCATAAGTAAAAAAGCCCAACAAGTATTCCAATTGCTACCCACCTTAATTCCTGATTGACCACTTTTCTGTTTTTTCCCCTGTTTTTCTTCAGGGCAAATCCGAACCACGAGCACATAAGAAGACCAGAAGTAGACAGGAGTAAATAATGGAAATTGCACTCATTAGATATTTCCCCCCCTATCTTTATTCAAGAAGATGTATGAACATCATATATTTTGTATACAAACAAGTTCACATCATGGGTAGACATACGTTTATTAAAAATTACATAAAATAAAAAAAGTAATATATTAACACATATTTGTTAAATACACATTTAGTGTTGATAACCTTTTAATTCATATTACTTCTATATTGTTTTACATTCTTGGTAAAAAACATTTGTAAGTTTAAGTTTGGAGTCCATTTATCTAAATATGACATTTTCCCAAAATGAAATAAACTGAACAAAAAAAGTCAATAAAGATAATTACATTTATGTTTTGTTTTTTATTTATGTTGGTGTACTGTGTAGAGATCATTCTGGTCCGCACTCCAATAGGTGGCGGTAATGCGCTTTTAACGCTGGTTGCCACCGGCCGTAAACAACGTAAAATGAAAGAGAAGAAGAAGAAAACCGGAAAAGTGTGTGTGTTGTCAACGAGAAGCCGCATGTGTTTGGATGAAGATCTGTGGGATGCTTTAAAACAAACGTAACCTTTGTCCTGAAACGTTTCTGTCGGAAAGGTTTGTGGAAAAAACGGAAGTAGCAGACCTTTAGGAGGACATAATGTTCAAGTGTAAACGTTAGCTGTCAACTAGCTGGACTGCAAAGTGCGCAGCCTTAGCTCTGAGGCTGTTAGAAATAGCTGACAGGCTTTGTATTGTTTTGAACTTCTCAAACTATTCATTGTCGAAGTAGTCACGTTTTTGAATGTATAAACGCCCTACCCTTCTGTTGGTTGAATTTAAAGGTATTTGATATGATAGGGATGATGCCATTTGAGGCAACAAACAGTTACACCTGACACCGTATACAACTGATATATATCATGCTGCATAGAGAGTTTATTGCTTTTGCTTATTTTTCTACTTGTGTCCCTTTTGGGGCTTTTGATACGCACAGTATACATGGCATCCACTGCTTTCAGTATTATAAAACCGAATTGACAATAAAATACACACCACACGTAATGTGTGTACCTTGTTAATTTCCAGTGCAACTAGCTAAATTGTTTGTTTTATGTATGGCATTCACTGTCCTTCCTTATACTTGTAATAAGTGCTTATTATATGTTCTAGGAACGTCTACTAGTCGTGCTAAGCCTGTCATGTATTATGTATATTTTAAGCACATAGACAGTGTTATATATTATGAATGTATGTTATGTTGTGGTGACACAGATGCCTAATTTTTGTGTTATTCTGTGCAGATGACTGCCCAGGAGGTGCGCCTGTGTGGTCTCCTGCTGCAGGAGCACTTTGGAGAAATGGTGGAGAAAGTGGGAACACATCTGCTAAAAAGTGGAGCACAGAATTTGAGAATGATCCTTCATGAGACCGGCATCTCATTGGACCTGGTAACAATCCTAAAGTTTTTGTTTCTAGGCTGTTACTGTAATTACATTGCACCATGGAAATACTTTTATACATGTTTTATTTACTGTTATACACACTGCACTACATTCTCAGCTTGTTCAAATATAGTTACGCAGTCCTGTCAAGCATACTGTCAAGCCATTCAATAAATAATATACAGTTTTGTTTACATAGGCTGATTATTCCACACTTAAAGTAGTAGTACAGGAGTAGCTTTTTAGTAACTATCCCTTTACATGACAGGTGGATTTGTGCTCCACAAAAACGGAATATATTACCACTTAAGTGACAAACCCATGAAGAACAAACACATAAGAGCTAAGAGAACAGCTTTTACATGTTTTTATACATGGTTAAAATGTCTGTTTGCTGGGCTTATTTGCAATATAAAGGAGCAAAACGCTTGCAAAAACGTTTCGTACAGAATAAACATAGATTTCTTCTTTTATTTTATAAGTAATCTTGTTTGGTGTGACTGTGAAAGGAGTTGTGATGGTAAAGCACCTATTCCCTTCCTATTGGTTCTCATGTAGCTGAAGAAGTCCCTGTGTGTGCTGGTGCAGCACGGGGCCTGTGTTTTCAGCTCAGGCCGTAAAGGGCCTGGGAGCCCTACAGAGTATCGGACCAGCTGTGACCGGATTCTGAGAATTCTGCGATACCCGCGCTACATCTACACTGCGAAAACCCTGTATGGGGACACTGGAGAGCTAATCATAGAGGAGCTACTACAGAGAGGTCACATGACCATGAGCAGCACGGTTAAAACCGTCGCTGACCGCCTAACACAGAACATGGAGGGTCAGTATCTCAGCTTCTATTTTGATAAAAAACTGGACACGATTTCAATCAAGCAACGTGCAAGAAATAAAAACTTTGTTGGAAATCCTAATATCTGTCAAGAGATAAATGTCCCGTTTTACAACAGCTTTTCTGTTTCCTGTCGTTCCAGATGGTCGCAGCATGGATTACAATGACGTTTCTAATTCATTCTCCAATCTGGTGGAGACCCATTTCCTTCAGCGATGCCCTCCACCGCCCAGAGCAGGGCCAAAAGAGAGCGCCACTCCAGCCCCCCCACCAGTCCCTGGTACTCCTACTCCCCCCATCAGCACCTCCCTGCCCACAGCGGAGAGCTTCCCCGACTGCTACAAAGTGCCTCACGTGACACTCATAGGGAGAGGCAAACGCCCACTCTCCAGTGAGGATGTAGATGACCAAAGAAATGCAAAGAAAGCTAAGATGGATTCAGAGGTGGGTGATTGCTACATGTTAGTTACTTCTAAAACATGCACTTTTAAATCTTAAATGATGTCTTAATTTCCCTGTCGATTGCATGTTATGTATTACTTATCTTTTGTTTGACTCTGGATCTCTCCATGTGTGCTTTTTATGCTTAGACACATGGTGATGAGGGGATTTGCTGGCAGGTGAATTTTGAGAGGTTTCATCTCCACTTCAGAGACCAGGCCATCATCAGCGCTGTAGCCAACAAACTGGACCAGGTCAGGGTTTTGAACATGAGAGAAAATGTTTTGTTCAAAGAATAGTTAGACTATAGGAAACTTTGCTTTCTTTTAGAAACTTCAATTACAAAACGGATTTGACTAACTTTAACATCTCTGTGTTTCAAAGCTACAGCCAGTACCCAGCAAAAATAACTACCTACCAGCTAGGGGTGTACGAAAATATTGATATAGTATTGTATTACAATACTTGTGATACTGTATCAGTTCTCAAAAACTCAGTATTTACATGCAAAGACTGGTGAACATTGGTTCACTTTGTGTTGCACTTTGATGTTGGATGTAAAAGAGACTGATAAATGCATATGCAGATCCCACTATTCTCTGATGTATTCTTTATAAACTTCATAGTTTCCTACAATAACAAATTCTCTTTGCTTAAATATATATAGTGATATATGACGTCATAACCCCTGTATTATGATCATCTGTAATCCTCATTTTACAGTGAGCACTGATTTATCTAAATGTTCCTATCTGTCCACCTATATATTACAGTTGTTTATGATGATGATGATGATGATGATGATGATGATGATGATAATAAATGTCTTTGTAATAATTATTTCCTCTTCATTTCTCAGACTAGCAGTGAGATAGTGCGGACTATGCTGAGGATGAGTGAGGTGACGACCTCGCCCTCAGCCACCTGCACAAAGCCCCTCTCAGCCAATGAGATCTTCAGGTCGCTGCCCACCAACTACAACATCGCCAGGCCCATCTTAGACCAGTACCTCACTCTACTGGTTGATGACCCGGTATGAGCTCTGCAAGGCACCTGTCACATTTAACAATCTTATTTTTAATCTGGGAGATGTTTTTTATATTCACTTGTCCTTTACCTCCTAGATGGAGTTTGTTGGGAAGGCTGGTGAAAGTGGAGGAGGGATGTATGTTGTCAGTATCCTTTTTCAAACTTAAAGGGTCCTGAGCCAACTGTCAAGAACGACTACACTTCGATTTTAAGGAATGAAGCACAAGGTATAGGTGCTTTCCCTAACTCCCTTCTCAGATATGCACAGAGCGCTGGCCAATCTGGCGCGAGCCACGCTTGAGTCTGTCGTTCAGGAGAGGTAAGTGTGTGTTTTTTAAATTGGTATGCATTTGATTGTTCTATCATCAGGTAATACTTATTAATGACTTTAACTCTGGTGCAGATTTGGCTCCCGATCAGCCCGCATCTTCCGCTTGTTGCTAAGGAAACGTCACCTGGAGCAGAAGCAGGTGGAGGATTTTGCTATGATTCCAGCCAAAGAGGCTAAAGACATGCTCTACTCGCTGCTCTCACAGAACCTAGTCCAACTACAGGTACACACTCCACATGTGAACATGCTTTCATGATGCCCCCCCACCTTTTTTTATAGTTTGTGTTTGTTTTAGAGCAGTGGTTCTCAAATGGGGGTACGCGGACCCCTAGGGGTACGTTGGAGTACTGCAGGGGGTATGTGAGATTTATTTTATGTTAATGAAGAAAAAAAACGTAATTAATGCATTTAAACAAACTACTAATAGTAGATTAACTACTTTCTTCAAAGGTTTACAGAAACTCTGGATAATAAAATGGGAACAATAAACGGGGTGCTCTCTTTTCCTCTCCCTCTCCTGACAGCTCGTCAGTCTCGTGCAGCTCGCTGAACCTGTAATAAGTGACCCGACAGTAAAGAATAAATATATGTATAACTAGTTTAGCTAGTTCCAGAGTAGATAAACTAGCTAAGTGTGTTAGGTCTAACTCTTAGTGTATTTTGCTCCACTCAACGGTCCGTCACAGCGGACGAGCTGTGATCATGCAGAGCTGCGTGTTCTCCGTCAGCAGCAGCTGATCTGATCTCTGATCTCTCTCTCTCGCGTCCGGTTAGACTTCACTCGCATTTATGTCTAAATCTATCAGATCTAGTTAATTCTAGCTAATCATATGACTGCCTGCTTATCAAAGGACCTAAACAATAAGCGTTGCTTGGCAACGGCGTGTGGCCGCAAAGTATAGCATTATGCATATGTTTTATATGAGGGGTCAAAATCCCATGCTCATAAAATGCTCATATATATTTTTCTCTTCATTCCCCACGCCCCAAAATAAATAAATATACTAATTTTAGGAAAAGTAACAAAGTTTGAGCAGTGTGGGTTTTATATTAAAAGAGTTACACATATCAAAACGCGAAGTGTAATAACTGCAGTTTGCCTCCCTGTCAGCATGACAAAGTTCCTCAGTGAAGCACAAGCCCATGTTTCTCACTAAATTGTAAGTACAACTTATTAAAAAGATCAGTTCAATGCAACTAATGTCGTCTTAGTGTTATTGCATGATGTTAAAATTGGTTTGCCATGAATTTAGTGATGGATTGTAAACATTTGAAATGTAGCATTTAAGTGTTTCTCAGTTACAAGGTTGTTGTTTTAATAAATCAGACACTGATGGTGCAGCGCTGTACTCATGCCCGGCGCCGTGGGAGGGCCAGGGAGGGCCAGGCCTTCCCATTTGACATTCCTGCCCTCCCCCAATAAACACGTTTTTTTATTATTTATAAAAAAAATATATATATATTTTATTTTTTTAATTATAAATAAACTGTGAACTTTTAGGCTACGATGTATGTGATGTCAGAACTAAAAAAAAAATCGCAGGCTACGTCAAATAAATGCATGTATCTGTTGTGATTTGTGATTCGTCCCCATTTAAACCAATCACAGCGTCACACTCTGCCGCCTATTCTGGATTTGTTTATTGTTTATTGTGCATTCGGTAGACTCCCATTTCTGTTTGAATTACAAAATGGACATCAGAAATCAGCTTAAAAGGTCTAAGGATTTATTAAAACGAAATAGCGATGAAAGAACTGCAGCCGATGGTGCTGCTGGCGACCCTGCACCTGCCGTTGCAGCAGCACGCCTTAATGTCACAAGCTTGACCTCGGTAAACCCCGGGGCTGAGTTAGCGAGCCCAATCCTTGACTCATCAAGGCGGCCGCCACCAACGCTGTCCTCCGAGGCACAGCTCCTTGTGCCCCTACCATCACCACCTGCGTTGCCACACCCTGTACCACACCCGCCAGCATCCTCCTCCTCCTGCTCCGTGCCGGTGCCTCCGCTACAGACGCTACCTCGCAGCACATCAACAGGTTCTATTGGGCCAGCAACCGCTCAAAGACTAACAGCCCCAGATGATCTTGGGGTTAATAAACCCAACCAGGTGAAACTGGATCGTTATCCAGGGAGATTGTTTCCAGGAAAGAAGCGCATTTTAGCCGCTGCATGGTACAACAACAGACCACGGCTTGAAGATTCGTTAAAAGCAGACGCAGCCTTTTGTTTCCCCTGTAGACAGTTTAAAGTAAATACGTCTTCATCTGATGCGGCTTTTACTGTCAAAGGTTTTTGCGACTGGAAAAACGCATTACAGACTGATAAAGGACTGCTAAGACATGCCGCATCAAAAGAACACATTTCATGTGAGAGTTTGTGGAGAGAGAGATACGCGAGAAAACAAATAAGGAAATTAGAACTTTGGTGCAGATCAGCTGGCACGGAGCCGATTACGTGTCAGCTGTCGTTGATATTATAGCTTTTTTAGCTGTCAACCAACTCCCTCTCAGAGGTGACTCGATTCACTCCACAGCATGTCCGAGTGCAGTGCATAGGAAAATAAACCATGCCCAAGGCGGGCTAAACAGCTCATCGTCTCCGTCTCTACTATTTCTCTCCGAGTGCAGCGATGAGGAAGCTGCCATCCGTAACCAGTGTGCCTTGCTCGTGATTTACCAGTGTTTGTGCTGCCACGCACACAATGTTTCAAAGTGGTTGCTATGTTACCCTTTATTTGTGTATGTTTGCGATAAGTGTGCGTCTTTACGCAATGCTGTTGGCCTTGCTGTTTGATATTGTGCCGCAGGCCCCGCAGCACGTGACGGTTTTGTGTGCCCTCCCATGAAAATCATATGCCCTCCCTTTAGATTTGTTCTGGCGCCGGGTCTGTACTGTACCTCTTTATAGAGGCATTTTTTTCCTTAACAATTTTTTTTGCGCTGATCAGGGGGTACTTGGCTGCATTTATTTTTCAAAGGGGGTACATTATTGATAAAAGTTTGAGAACCACTGTTTTAGAGGAACAGACATATACAAAAAAGATTGTTTGTGTGTGTGATATTTTCCCAAAAATCTTTAGGAAGAAATATTTGCACAAATAAAACACTTATAAGTATTACCTCAAGTTCATATCAAGTCCCTAGTCCTCAAATATATAATAAAAATGACTATTGAAAATACACAAAAATAGCCAGTGTAAACAAATTGAACATGTTGCATGGAAGATAAATGAGAAGTGTGCTATAGATGGTAAACCACATTAAGGGGGAATAATAGTGAAATGCTTGCCCTTTGTATTTATGTATTCCTACTTACTGTATTCCAAGGCATGATACAGATATTAAGTTGATGAATACTTTTCTTGTCACACCCATAAACACAGCAGTAACGACCTTCCAAAACAGTCCTTGCTCTTAACTGCCATATATGATTAACTTTGACAAGAAATACAACGACATTAGTCTTCGATAGATTTAAATATACAAAGCAAGCTGTTTCAGGCTCATTTTCTTAGTGTATTATCAAGAGTGGCTGCCTGAAATGTAGGAGTAATACAAAAAAGAAAAGAAACTGATCTAAAAACCCACTTTGGAAATGGTTTGGCACACTTTTTGATGATGCACTCTCATTGATGCACTGATTGTGTATGTGTATGTGTATGCCAACAGAGGACGGAGACATTACTTTTTGGTTTTCCATCCTTCTGTCAGACCCATGGGAACACAATATTTTAAACAGCAAAACAGGATGATTGGTAAATATTGATGACTTTTAGGACAGACATGGATTTAACTTGACCTTGACTGGGTGGCGGAGGCATTCATCTGCTGGGTAAAACTATACATTGAAAGCACTATAGCCTTTTATCTGAGTTTATGGACAATGACGCAATAATAATCTAACCAAAGTGACGATTTGGTAAATTCTCTGACATATTGGAATAAGTACACTAGAATGATTTAAGTCATAGTGTAAGTGCTGCAGCCATATTTCTTATTTGTTATTGTACCTACTCATTCTGTCTGAACTGCCATGACTCTTTTGTTTGTTTGTTTTCATCAGGAAGTCCCAAAGACTCCTGACTACGCTCCCTCTCGTACCTTCTATCTTTACACCGTCAACCAACTCCCCACTGCGAGAATGCTGCTTCAGAACTGCTACAAGGTAAATAAGTTGTTATACTGTAACCTTAATTGCTCGTACTAATGCAATGCTTTTTATGTCTTTCATATTGGATTTGCCTTCAGTAATGTTTTGTCTCTGTGCAGACAGTTGCCAACCTCATAGAGCGCCGCCTGTATGAGTCCAAAGAGAGCAAGTGAGTCCATTTTGTCGCAATGTTTTCTGCGTCCCACTGCCTGCGCAAAACCCAGATACATTCTCATGATCTACCTAAAGAGTTGTCTGTCTCACACACTGTCACAGATCAGTGTTTAATTGCTTTCTCTCTTGATCGGCAGGCGTCTGCTGGAGAAATCCCAGCGAATCGAAGCCATCCTGGCCTCTCTGCAGGCCAGCGGGGCGGAGCCTGAGCAGCTGACGGAGGTGGAGGAGATGATCACTGCTCCTGAAAAACAACAGCTGGATGCCTTACGGCTTCATATCAACAAGTAGGAGAACAAATCCAAACATCAGTTCTCTTCACCTCTTCGGTCTCTTATTTGGTCTCATCATTGTTCTTTTCCCCTCTAGGTTAGACTCAGCAGAGAACCAGGTAGATGAAACCATCTTTCTTATAGAGTCCTACGTCAACTCCACCACAACCACAAGTTGAGAGCATTTCAACGTACGTTTGAAGATTTCCCTCTTTACCTTTTGTGTATGAATGTTGTCAAGTATGGCTGTTTTATAGTTAATATGACTGGATTGTTTCAGTTTGAAGTGCAGTCAAATCTGAATAGATAACCTTTCTTGTTTTTATTTCATCCCTGAACAAATGAATAAACTGAATACTTATTTTTCAACAGTTTTAATTTCATCGAAGAACAAACACAAAACTATAAGACAAACATAAAACAGAGTGATTGTTTGAAATGTAAAACCATGATGATGTCCTTATATTAAATAGAAGAATTGTGATTTAATGCACTTTGGTGTTTCCTTAAAAATAGAAAAAGATTATTTACATAAGTGCTCCCGACCCTGGAAATAATGGGTAGTGCATTTGTGTTGGACCCTTGTGATGCTCTCTTTGGTCCTGGAGGTCCTGTTGGGTTTGTGGATCGAATCCAAACTGTCTCTGTGGCTGCTGAGAGGCAGCGCATGTGGTGGTCGTCATGGCAAACGATTGTTGTCATTCCAGCGATATTTGGGCTCAGTCTTCATGGTTCTCATCTTCTCCTCTCTGTTTGCGTGTGAAGAATCCCAGCTGATGAAAAGATCATTGTAGATGATTAGAATACACTCTTAACACGTTCATTTTATTGAAGCAATTCTTAGGTAAATATAAAACTGAAATACCTTCCATAGTATGAAAATGATTAGGGCCAGTAGCAGCAAACCTCCAATGATGCTACCGATCAGAATCCACAGCGAGATAGGAATAGCTCGGCCCTTAAGCACCTCCAATACCGTCTACAGCATAACAGATGAAGGGAGAGATTAGAGAAAGTAAATGCCATTCCCGTTCTCCGTCAAAAGAAATCCGACTGCAGTCTTCTTACCTCCCTCCAGACTGTTCCTGTGCCCAGAGTAATGAGGTTAGTCTCCTGGGCTGCGAGGCTGTAGGCCCCTATTATCTTCACTGACTTATATTTTGCCTAAAAAAGGAGACACAGAAGTGATGACCAATGATTGTGTCACAGGACAAAAAAATATATATGTTGAAATGAGCATCAGCATTCTGTTGTGTAACTCACTTTTCTGAAAAAGTCATCATGAACTCTGCGGCTGACACGAATGAGAGCGAACTGCCCTCGTAAAAGCTGCTTTACTTCACACACAACCTCAGTGCACCATGACCTGCTGCAGTTCTAAACGCAAATATATAAACATCCATGTTAACACGTATACTGATGCTGCACTGTGTTCATTCGCTTCGTTGCTACCAGGGGCCTCACCAGTATGTCGTTAGGCATCATGTCTTCTGGGTGAAGGGAGCGTACGTCTCTCTGTCTGGCCTTCAGCTGGGGCAGATCACTCAGCACGCTGCAGTTCACCCACGAGGCCTATGGGTACATTCAAATTAGTCAGATACGATCTAAATGAGATACAAACCCTCACTCTGCAGCACTACTCACGTTGTATGAAACATCAGTGATGGTCATGAAGACTGTGTCTCCTGCAGCTACTGAGGGCAGAAGCAGCCTCAGCAACACATTACTCACAGAGTAACATCCGAGGTTCTGCAGCTAAAAACAAAAAAAGCTGCAATTTTGCCGCATCTAGTCTTTTTTAGATCAACAATATTATTTATGCATGTGAGCCATACCTTGAGTTGTGTATAAAACTCTGGTCCAATAGCCTCTGATGCTGTGCGAGTGGGGTGGACCTCGTATCGGTTCAAATTAGATTCACTGTACAAAAAAAACGGGGTTAAAAAAACACATCAATACAATACTCTTTGAAGTAGCTAATACATCATATTGTTGTACACACATACCTGATAACAAACAACTCTGGTTCGTACTGAACGAAACTCTGCAGCTGAACACTGTTGTCCCCAAAAGTGTCCTCTCTCTCCACACTGTCACTGTAAAAGAAGCAGATGGTTACATAGAGTAAACTCAGGAGCTTATTGCATAAGAATATGCAATTTACTGTATCTACCAGCACTTTGGCTCCACCAAAAATCGTTTTAATGTGCTATATAAATAAAAATATAAATACAACTTGATTTGATGCTCTGGAAACTATGTTTTATTGAGGTTTTCAGTCGTTTTGAACTGCTGTTTTGCTTTGGTGAGATACCTTTTAGCATGAAGCTTCATCTGCACTCGGTTGTGCAGAGAGGTGCAGCTGAACTCAAACTCCAACATGAAGTTAACCTGCAAACAAACAAAAGAGAACAGCCTGCTGAAGTGACACATATCACATGGAGGAAGTGAAGTATGAGTGGGCTGAGTCGAGAGAGGGATGGAGCTATTTTTCTCGGCATGGACATACTTTTGACTGCGAGCGAAATACTGGATAGCTGACATTACACGAGTGGCTGTTGGCTCCAAGTGCTGTACACTCAATCTTAAAGTTGGCATCCTCCTACATCAAAAGAAAAGAAACAACCATGTAAGTTTGTTGGTGTTTATGTGTGTGAATGTCTGGTGTGTTTGCAGTATATATGTGTGTGGTTTACCCTGATGCTGAGGCTGGAGAAGTGCAGGTTGCGGGAATAGCTCAGCATCAGGCTGGTGTTGTAGGCGTTTTCCAGTCTGTTCTGAAGCTGCACCTCCACCGCCAGACGCCTACGAGGGCTGCGAATCACATAAGGCTTCTGTCTGTGGAGGAAACACAATGAAAACTGAAACAACAGAATAGATGTCTGATCCTGTCAAACTGATGCAGAAAGAAAAGAGAACGAGAGGAAGATCTAAAATATGTACCTCGTCCCGGAGATGTCCATATGAGCCTGCAGCACCAGGTCTGTTGTACACACATCGTCCTCACCACAGTCTTTAAAGAACTGGATCTGCAAAGTGTAGGAAGACAAGTTTGATTATTACCTTGCATGGAGGTTGAATCCATATTCCAGGCTTCAGTTAATGCATGTGTGTCCGGTTAGTTTGAGAACAGTGAGGTCATGTGGTGCCGTTGGAAAGCTAGAAACGATAACCACTCACAGATTTCTTGACGGTTGTTGGCCAGCCTTCATCCAGCACCGGACCACTCCCTGTATCGTTGATCTTAAACCGCAGCGAGAAGCTTATTGGACGGATGTAATCTGCTGTGTCCTACAACAAAGACAGGCATACATGTTAGTGATGCATTAAAGTAGCCTCGGCATTTAAATGTGAAACGTGTGGTGGATGTGTGTAGCATTGCTCACATAGACATGGAAAGGCATTCTGTAGCAGAGCGTTTGTCCTGTGTGAACTCGAACCGCCAGCTGGGTCTGACGGTGGGAGCTGTCGTCAAACAGGGCCCTCGCAGACAACTTCCTGTCATCTAACATGGCCGACACCCACAGATCTGAGGAGAGGGCAGGTAATTAGGACAGATGGTAAGTGTTGGTAAATCCCTTTTGTAATTATTATGCACGTCTGGCCAGTTCACAACTGTTCCAGTCCTCATTATTAGGATTAGAGAGGGTAAGAAATACAATGTGTCATACTGAAGCTGTTTGTGTGTGGGCCGGGGGAGCGGGAGACGGTAGTGAAGCAGGCGGTGGCGTTGAGACAGGCCGACTCCCTGGCCCCCCTCTGGCAGGTCTTCTGAATGACGTTGATGGAGTGCGGCTGGAAGGACAGACTCACGTTGATCTGCACTATGCTTCGAGAGCTGGGGATAGGAGGAACATGGGATATAAGTTTTAGCCATGTGACCCAACAGATATAAAGGGGGTGTATTACTTGGATTAGGACCATCACAAAATCTGAATTTAGCTACACGATTTACCTACACAGATTGCAATATCTATAGAACATTTGAAATTCATCTGAATCTTTGTTCATTGTGTTTTGTCTCTTTTTTTGGCAGATTAATTATTACACTAATGTGTGTGTTGGGAGTGGGGAACAAAGACAAAGCAAGAACAAAAATAAACAGAAATGATTGAGAGATGCTGGATAATTTACACACTATATTGATATGTTTTATTAACTAAATATGAATATTTCTTAATACTGGCAATCTTCTATACCAGTGCCACACCTGTAATTTGACTACATCGTAAATCTACAGCTAGAAAAGGAAAATCTGTTCTCTCAATCTCCGTCACTCCCTCCCTCCCTCCATATTTGGGCCTCTACCCACCTGAGCATCACAGCACTGCCCTGTGCTCCCACTGCCAAGTCTATCAGCTCATCTCCATCCAAATCCAACCGAGCACTCACACTGCGGCCAAAATACTGAATGGAGGGCGAAATCGATGCCCCTGAAATACGCTGAAGGAAGCCAAGAGGCAGAAAACCAAAGTCAGCTTGATTGCATCTTGAAATACACCTTACGAAAATGTAAATGTAAGCAAAAGACGGGTACCTGCTTGTAATTGTGCACGACGTAAATACCGTCTCCGTGGTAGAGATAAATGGCTCCTCTGTGATCATCCTCCAGCGGGGCCCCCACCAGCAGGTCAGTGAAGCCGTCGTGGTTGAGGTCTGGAGCGGCCGCCAGGGCGTAACCAAACCTGGCATCCTGGGACTTTTCTTCTGACTTCAGAGTACCATTGGAAACAAACACTTCCTCCTGGGAGCAAAGAAAGAAGATTGGAAGTAACAAAAATACATCTTTTGAGAAAATAATTATTGAAGTATCACAAGAGTTTGCTAATGTTGTGTATTCTCATACGGACTGCATATAATCAATAAGAAGAAGTTGGAACACTGCAGTCTTACCCCACTGAGGGTGTAGATGTACACTCTACCAGTTTCCTTGTTTCCTGAGCCAAGGAACATTGGTGCAGCTACCAGAAGGACATCAGTGATGCCATCCTGGTCGATGTCCAGCCCACACACCTCGCTGCCATAGTAAGATCCAATCTGCAGACAGAAACATTCTTATCCAGTTTACTGCCACTAGATGGAGCCCTTGCTCTAGTCTTTGACAAATGAGATTCCTAATTTGGTATGCTTTAACACATAAACAGAAAAAGGTGTTATAGGGAAAAGAGAGGAACAGAGAGGTTTACCTGTTCTCCATTCAGGGCCTGTACAATGTTGACATCACCATCATCGCTGAGTTCAAACAAGATGACTTTGCCTTTGTGTTTGAATCGAGGAGCACCAGCCACATACAGCCTCTTCCAGTCACCAACTATCACAGAAGATACTGTGTAACCTGGGGACAGATACAAACATATCATTTAACACTG